GGTGGCATTATTTTCTAATGGCACCCCAGTCGCACGGTTCTGGTGCGATACCACCCGTGCAATCACGCAGAACTGCAGTGCGTGTCACAAAAAGAGGTAGATGTACCTATTTTAGCGATTGCCGCGCAGATGTAACCGGCGGCTGGTCAATCGCTATGTGCAATTGTGCACAATCACGCAGTCCTGGGACATGCGTCCCGAGATCGCCCATATCTGAACCTACCCTAAATGCTATCATTAATAATGTATATTTTTTGTTTTTTTCTTTTATTAATGAGTTTGCATTTATTATTTTATTGCAAAGGTGGAATAGGCCATTAAAAATCATAAGCAATATTAATGATTGTCCCCCCTCCCCGCCCCAGGACCGGTCATTAATATTATGAATAGCAGCATTAATCAGATACAGCCAATCAGAGTGCTCAGATAGGACCAGTGACATCAGAGCACCCGTCTGTCTATTGCAGGATATGTCTTTGTCTCAGATATAGAGCCAGACGCCCAGCCTAGTCATGGCTCTATAGTCATGCCACGTATGAGACTCGTGGTCACATGATGCTCCTATAGAAAGTGGGTCACACTCAGTAATCATAGTGTAATATCCGTGCTATAAATACACCGCACCTGCGTCCTGTATACAGAACCGGACAAAGGTGGTCACAGTGCGGCTTCCCAGAATGAAAAGACATATTTACTGATATGGAGCTATGTACTGCCACTGCAGGGAAGACAGTACAGAGGTTTCACCGACGGAAACCAAATACTAAAGGTGCCGTGCCAAGCACATGATAACAATGTAAACACTTTAAAATGTATATTTTAAGCAAATCATTTACAGGTCCTGACCTGTGAAGGGAATGGGAGCCGTCAGGTAGGCGGTACTGGGCCCCATGATTCCTAATGGCAGCCTTGAACCCACCTTTGCATGCTTGGCCAGGAGGTCTCTAAGGCTTAGACCAGGGGTGGGCAACCTTGGCATACCAGCTGCGCTTATACTACAAACCCTGCCATGCCTGTGCCTCTGGGAGTCATGCTTGCGGCTGTCAGAGTCTTGTAATGCCTCATAGGACTTGTAGTTTCATAACAGCTACAGTGCAGAGGTTACCTACCCCTGGGTTAGACCGTTCCGGCCGGGGAGATTCACCCTCTCTATTCCTCACGGTGACCCCTGCCATTGGTACAGGAAGTGATGGGAAATTCATCATTTTGAAAATGTCACAAGAGCAAGTGATGGGGACACGTGTTCCCGGTGACAACTGTCTAAGAGGGGAAAGGCCACCACTTTGGAGAGATTTCCTCTTACTTCCTGTTCTGTCTATGGCACAGGAAGTAAAGCAAATTCTTCCTAATAGGAGGTAGACAGCAAAAATGGTCAATGCTTCCCTACTCTGCATAGATGCCAACTGTCCCGGAATTGTCAGGAGAATCCTGGGTCTTGGCCCTCAGCCCTGCTGTGTCCTGGGCCATGTCCCCAGAGCCACATTTCCATTTTGGCGCCTTTAGACACAAATAGAAATCTGTTTAGCCTGAACCGGTGCCCTTCCTGCTGCAGGACCTGCCAGCTTTCGCATATTCAGAGAAGGACCCCGGCGTCGTGTAGGGCTGCCCTAAACGCCTGTCCACATCAGACAGGCATTTTATAGGGCAACCTTACACACCTCTGCGGTCCTTCCCCTGCCGGGAAAGTCGGTGGTTCCTGTGGGCGACGCTGGTCTGGGAGCACAACCAGGGCACAGGGACAGAGCATTGTCACCCTATACCAGGAACTGTCTGAACACGGATTCCCAGGTATGATACGAATAGGGTTGCAGATTTTAAAATATAATTTTGGCATTTATCACTGCACTGTCTGCAAGAGCCGTTAGGTTGCCACACTTTAAATAGATTGCGCGGACTGAAATTTGTGGCCAGCTCAACAAATGCAAAAATCATTTTACTAATGAACCTTCTTGGCAGTGTTTCTGTCCTTGTTCTGCTAAATCTTCCTGTGTATACAGTATTTTAAAATGAATTGTACAATAGGCTAACCCAGCCTTTCTTAACCAGGGTGGCGGGGCACCGCGGGGTGCCTTCTGCCTTCCTCAAGGATGCCTCAAAGTTTTCACACGGCATCATTCCTCTGATGTGAAGAGGCCTCCTATTGTAAAAGAGGGGGACTCTGATATGGAAGGGGCTGTAGTCAGGCAGCCCAATCAGACTTTCCAATAAATACTCCTCTAACATTCCTTCAGTGCTCCTAGAAAAATAAAGTCTGCTCCTTTGGGCATTGTGCTCCTCCAGAACTTGATATGACGTCACTCATGCGTAGCATACAGGAAAGATTCCTGTGCTGCATGCCAAATTCTCATTTGAATATCAGCCCGGCTGTGGCTATGGAATAAAATATCTTATGCAACTGATCATTTTGGATGGAAAACGTATAAGAAACAGTGGAAAAGTACTAAAATGATTTAGGAAAACTCACAGACTGTCTTTGATGTAGCTAAAGTAATATATATATTGTGATGTTTGGGGAATATAGCCCAATGGTGAGCGCTTAAGGACCAGTCTTGTAGCCGATTTGAACATAAACAGGAAAGTCTTTATTCCTCTTCAACATAAATGAAACAGAACAGTTCATGTGCTTCTTATAATAATCTGCTTTTACTCACACTGCTCTCTCAGCAGTGTGTCCACCAGGTCCCTTGGGTCACCGACCTTTCCCAGCCTCCCCCGGCTGTTCCACGTGCGTCCAGCACGCACCCGAATCTACTTGTGGCCGTGTGCCTCGTGCACACCCACACACCACTGGCTTGGCTTGACCCTTGTGTGCCTCCAGCACACACCACCAACTCTCCCTTGAGCTCTGGTCTGGGCTCTTAATGAGGGTGCTCTCAGCCACCTGAACACTGGCAACACCTGACCTCAGGACTGGAGATGTCAACCCACCCAGAACACTAAAGGTGCCCATACACTGCACGATTCTCGTACGAGAATCGCTGGAAATCCCGCGATCGTACGAGAATCGTGCAGTGTATGGAAGGCGTGCGACCGTTTCTACTGTACGGTCGCACGTCTTTTGTCGAACCAGCATGCTAGAAAACCCGCCGGGAATCGTACGATTCTTGGCGAGTTAGTGACCTGCTGGTTTGACAACTGCCGAACGGGCCGGTGTGCGCACGCGCACACTGCCCGTTTGCAGTCATTGTAAGCCCGCCCCTCATTACAGTCATCGTAAGCCCGCCCTTCAGGGGGGCGGGCTTGCAATGATCGAGAGTACGATCTGCCTGTCCAAGATGGGCAGATCGTACGTTTTTTTAAAGTACTTTACAACCATCGCAAGACTAAGGTCTTGCGATGGTTGTAAAGTGTATGGCCACCTTAAG